TCAAATTTAAAAAATAATTAAATAATCATATTATTAATCTTTATCACATAATTTGACCTAATCTATTTTCTTGATAATATAATTCAAATCAAAATACAAATAATTAATCTTTATCATATAAAACAAGTAATTATCTTATTTATGACAATTATATTTCAATTGCATTAGGATAATTAATACCATATTGAAAAAATCGAATTTTATCAGTCTAAAACATTTTTGACAATTATTCTAATTCAATTTCAAGCAAAATCCGAAAAAATCAATCATCTGACAACCTGACTTGCCGAGTCACTGACAAAACTTGTCGAGTTGCCCTGACTCGTCGAGTTCATCAAGTGACCCGACGTGTTCATCATGCAGAGGCATAATTTTTCGACTTTTCAGCTTTGAACATATTAGAAATGCATTAAATACAATAGAAAAATGACCTAGGCTCTGATACCACTGTTGGGTTATAAGCAAATCATCAATCATATGGTGCACATGCAAACCCTACAGCTTTGGATCTAGGTTTTTCTATTTGTACATGCAATAATTATCCAAAGCTTGTAAAACCTAATTCTAGCATACCAAAATTGAAAATACATCTAACAAACAAGTTAAAATGTTACCTTTGATTGAAGCTTGATAACCTTGAGCTTTTGAGAACCTAGCACCTTAGTTGGAGAATCTTAGAATGAGAGGGAGTAGGCTCAAAAATCGGCTAGCTATCCTTCTTAGGTTTTAAGTGGCCGATTTTGGTTACCCTAAGGGTTCCTTATATAGCTAAGCAACTAGGGTTTCAATCAAAACATTAATCCAATTGCTTAGTCCTTAAGCAGCCCAAAGGATCATTCCAGAAGGTCCATTGGACGATTTCTATGTGGACTCCCACATGGAATTCGTCCATTGCTTCCTTATGGATCCTAAGCCCAACCTTGTAACTATTTTATAATTACAGTATTAGTCCCCTTGATTTAATTAATCTCTTTTGACCATAAAATTAATTCTAAATTAATTTTTGACCAATATTAATTAAACAACATGATTTCTCCTTTAATATATTATTCATATAATATATTAATAAACTATAATAATTTCTTTCTCCATTATTCAGACAGTCAAGTTGCTTTTGTGAAGGCAACCCAAAAGGACCATGCTACTATCGAGTCAAGTACATACCAAATATAGTTATGTGCTTAGACACCTAATCCAACACTAATAGGATTAGAAAATAAATAAATAATGGTGGTGTGTTTAAGCATGGAAGGATATACTTAGGCAATGTAGAATGCTTAAGGAGCTGGCCAGATGATGGCTTAAAGGTTGAAAGGACTCGATAAGGCTTCTTACATACCTTAAACTTTGTTGGAACATTATGATATTGTATGTCTTAAAATATTTGATATCAATGTTAGAATAAATTGTAAAACTCCAAAAAGGGGAGAAAAGGGTAAAAGTGTCCGAGAGGGTTAATAACCCCTAATTGCATAGTATTGGTTACTAGGCAGACTGCAAATGTGAAAAAATGACCAAGGTGATATGGTTATCGAATAGTTGAAAAGTATGGGAAGGGTTACCAGTGAGGTGGCCCACGATGCGATTCCGAGGGTGGAATCCTTTTAAGGGGTAGAAATTTATAACCTAAATTTAAGACTAGGTACTTAAATTAATTAAGTAATTAAAGAAAGGATGATTTGCATAATTAAATCATTAAGGAATGATCATATTGTTATTTGATATGAAGATTAGAAAGAAAAGGTTTAAATAATAACATCCAATTTTAAATGACCAAAAATGTTGATTGGTAAAATGTTTAACCAAAGGGTTAACTCATTTAATGAGAAATAGGCCACTATTCTATTTAATGGATGGGAAAGGGCTTATTATGTAAACCCTTAAGTTGAAATAGAAAATATTAGGATTTGGGTAGTTTTGGTCAAAAGGTGAAAACTTAAGGGACTAAATACAAGTGTGCAACCCCTTCCCCTACTTCAGCCATTTCACGATAGAGAGAGTTTGGGGCCAAGAATATGGCGATTTGAAAGAGAATTTCATGCTAAAGTGAAGATCTATCAAGAAATTGTAGTTACAACAAAGGATTGAGATCATTTAAGGTAGTCCTTTAGCTCTTAAATTATAATTCATGACTTGGGGGAAACCCCAATGTTGATTTTAGCTTGTTACAATGGTTAAGGTTAGGTTTTCTAACCTCCCTTGATTAGTTTTGATGATCCCAATTACAATCCAATCATCTCATTGAAGGATTTGAGGATTTAGGTGAAAACCCTCATGAACCCTAGAAAACCTAAATTAGGGACATTGTAATTGATGATGAATTGGTATCAAATTCTATTATCTAGATGACTTTCAACAACAATAAATCTAATTGGAATGCTCAAACTCATCCATGATGGTAGGATTATCCATAAACTTGGATTTGAGATGATTTTTTTTTGGTTGGGGGGGGAGGGGGGGGGGGGGGGAGTAGCTAAAACAATTAAATTCTTTATATGTGAGCATTTGATGAGTATATGATACTCATAAACATGAGCTGATACTAATACCATGATTTACATGCAAAAACATGAAGACTTAAGTGATCTATAGTTGAAATTATGGAATAATTAGCCATAAGGGCAATTTGGGAAACATGGATTCGAATTGAGGATTCCATAGTTAGTTTATGTAATTACAATTGGTTTAGTTGTGGTTTTATATACCTAAGAACGTCCAATGATGTTTTAAATGACTTTGTAATAAGTTACAATGGTTGGAATACAAGGATGAGTAACTTAAGCCCTTAATCCATTCAATTGTGTAATTTTGAGCATTATAAGGTTACTTTGTAAAATGAGGACTTAATAAATTAAGTTAAATGTTTTGACATGATAAAATATCCTCTAAATATGTTTGGGGAGCCATTAAGGTGGTTTAGAATGATGTTGGATGAGAACCTTGATCATTTAGATCTTAATTGCTAACTAGAATGATTAAATGTCATTTTATGCTTTCTTATAGCTTTGATGAAATCTAAATGTCATAACGATTAAGTCATTACGAAGATAGAGATTAATTGAGTATTTGAGTATTTGAGAAATTGATAACCTTTATTTAGTCCTTAATAACCACATGGTAAAGTTTGGTGGCTATTGAAAGTCTAAGGAACAAGTTACAGAGCTTTTAGCAAAATTCTACACAAAATAGTGACATTCAGTCGTGACACGGGGTGTGTCAAAATGACACGAGGGCATGTCCTTTTGACGTGGGGATTGTCAAATGTTGTGCTAAGTGTACTACTTTTTCATGGAACACCTAGTAAATGACCCACGATTGCCCTCAAACTTTATATATAAACTAATAGGAAGTAACTCGAAACATGCATCTCCCTACTTATTCATTTATATTTGATAAGTTTTACTTGATTTTTATCGCATGGTACTCTATGTACCCATTGATTGGTATGTGACCTAATTGTGCATTCATGAAATGCGATTTTTTTTAAATGTTTTGATAGGTAAAAGAGCTAAAATATTGGAAAAATGTTTACATTATCCTATGTATGCATATTCATATTAGGATGGGTGTGACTTTGAGATTCCCAGGTACCCAAATGCATGTTTGTTATTATTGTTGTTGTGAGTATATTTGTAAATAATCGTCACATGCTCGAGTGGAGGCTTGCTATCCTTCGTGTGGCCTAGGTTGGATGGCTCCCAGTGCCTTGATTGTGGATGTAAGGGCAAATTTGATAATTTCGTCTGTCATATGTTCTTCACATTCGACCATCAATTTGTGAGTTGGACTATGAGATTGACATGGGGTTGAGAATAGATGCATGCATAATACTACACTTAGCATGAAAATCTTATCCATATTTTGTTATTGTTGGAATATAATATTTTCGCCCTTTTTCAACTAAAATGTTAATTATAAATCTTTGAGAGGATTAATTCAAGTATTGGGATTGCTATTCTTTACTCAAAATGAGTTGATCCTCTGGTAACTCACTAAACATTTCATTGTCAAACTTATTTTGGATGTATGTTCAGATTGAGAGGCTTGGTGCTTAGAAGATAACATGGATTTTAGAAGACCCGGACTTGTAGGGAACTTGAACCTTTGTTATGATACCTAATTAACAACCTCACTTCTTAAAACTTTTATTTAACTTTTGGGGACCGTTGAACTTTTATGCTTCAATTTGAAACTTTTGAATTTAAAAGATTTTACGTTTTGTTTGAAAATGATTTTACAACTGGGCCCTAGTAAGGGGTGTTACATTCAGTCTAAGTCAATAAAAGTTTATCGAACGTTCAAAAACAAAATCCAAATCGATTAAAAACATTACATAACGTAATGAAAATTTCATCCAATAGTCAATAATCTCTAGTTTGATGTTGTTGAAGGAGAAATATTGAAATCGAACCAAATCTCATGAAATCATTATATTCTTCAAGTAAATGTTGATGATACATTCTAAATTTTACTCCTAAACTATTTATTTTGTTCACCATGAAACTTGAATATTTAATCCATAGAGGAGACACAATTTTTCAAACACTTTTATATGTTTTGGCCAAATTCCCTATAGTAGTTATAAAAAATAATCGTTTTGCGATGAATTTGATTTTTAATCCTAAATCTAACTAGATTTTAATTTCGAAAAAGAATATACAAAATTTTGAAAAATGCTTACAAATTAAGAGCAACTTCTCTAAATAATTTACAAAGTTCATTTCATAAAAAAAATCGCTTTGATTATTTTATTGATTAATCTTTTATAAATATAATTTTTAGATTTTATTCATTTCAAGAATATTTTTAAGTGTTGACCATGAAGTGTTATTTTTTAAGTAAAGTGAGGTTCTGTTTTGAGAGTTGAAAGAAGTACGAGGGCTACAAGTGTATACTTGATTCACATGGATTATCACCATTAACGTTCACGTTTTTCTTCCCACTGCACTGCACTCCACCACAGTAGTCAGTACACACTCAGCTCTCTCTCACACACAACAATGGCGGCACCACCATCGCCACCACCAACGCCACAGCTACATCTCACACATTTTCTCTTATTCCTACTCCTCCTCTTCCACCTTTCTCCCCTCCAGGCTACACCACCGGCGAGCGACCACCCAGACCTTGCCCCATTGATGTCGTTCAAAGCTTCCTCCGACGTATCAAACAAACTCACCTCCTGGAACTACTCCTCCGATCCATGTAGTATCTCCTCCACCTTCTACGGTGTCTCTTGCCTCCACAACCGAGTTACTCGTCTCGTCCTCGAAGACCTCGACCTACAAGGCCGTTTCGACTCACTCGCTTCCCTGACTCAGCTCCGGATTCTCTCTCTCAAACGTAACCGCCTCACCGGCCCCATTCCAGATCTCTCTAATCTCACTGACCTCAAGCTACTATTTCTATCCTACAACCAAATCTCCGGCGAGTTTCCGCTGTCGCTACCTTCATTATTCGGTCTATACCGGCTTGATCTATCGTATAACAACTTTTCCGGCGAGATTCCGGCGACAATCAACCGTATGAAACACTTACTAACTTTACGCCTCGAGGAGAACCAGTTTTCCGGTTCCATTGGGGTGTTAAGCCTACAAACTCTACAAGACTTCAATATCTCCGGGAACCAAATTTCTGGTGAGATACCCACCGCACTCTCCGGGTTTCCCGAATCCGCATTTACAAACAACCGGGTTTTGTGCGGGCTTCCACTCTCCAACTGCACCGAACCCAAAATTCCCGGTATAGCCTCGCCGGTGGGTAAACCAGCTAACACGGTTGTCTCGTCATCACCGAGCTCCATGCCTTCCACGGCGTCGTTACCTAACGATCATAAAAAATCAGGAAGCAACCACCATAGTAGTGGCAAGATAAGTACTTTAGCGATTGTAGCGATTATAGTCGGAGATGTTTTGGTTTTGGCGGTAGTGTCGTTAATTCTCTACTGTTACTTCTGGCGTAACTTCACCGGAAAATCAGGTACGACGAAGTCAACGTCTTCGCAGATTCTCGAAGGTGAAAAGATAGTATACTCATCAAGTCCGTACCCGAACCCGACTGCGCAGTCGGGTTTTGAGAGGGGTAGAATGGTCTTTTTCGAAGGTGCAAGGAAGTTTGAGCTGGAGGATTTATTGAGAGCGTCGGCGGAGATGTTGGGTAAAGGTGGGTTTGGGACTGCGTATAAAGCGGTGTTGGATGATGGGAATGTGGTGGCGGTGAAGCGGCTGAAGGAGGCGGCGATTGGTGGTAAACGTGATTTTGAACAGCAGATGGAGGTTCTAGGGAGGTTACGACACCCTAACGTCGTTAGTTTGAAGGCTTATTATTTTGCGAGAGATGAGAAATTGTTAGTCTACGATTACATGTCTAACGGCAACTTGTTCTGGCTTCTTCACGGTATGTTATTCTTGCCGTTAAATCTTAAGAAATTTTAATTTGCATTTGTAATTGTCATTAAATGATTCACAAGTAGTATAATTGAATTGTAACTAGATCTTAATCTTGAAATTAAATGGCTTTAGATTGTTAGAAAAATCAAAATCAAAACTTGTTACAAGGATTTTTTTTTTTTTTTAAATAAAAGAACTATAAAAATGATTTTTTGGCAAAAACCAAATTAAGACTTGTGAATATAAAAATGAAAATTTTGAAGTTTATGGCAAAAGATTGATAGAAAAAAACAAAATTAAAACTCGTTAATAGAATATTTATGGCATAAGGATGAAACGGTCAAAAAGTGAAAAGTAGAAAAGTATTATATTAAAGTTTGTGAAAGAAACAAAAAGAAAAAGGAAGCATAGTTTAGGGTGCCCAATCATAACAATCTTCCTTAATATGTTTACAACTCCCGCTCCTATCACTCTTTTTTGTCTACTCATTTTTGGCTTAATTTTACCTTTAATCATATCACATATAATATAAAAAGGTTGATTATGATTAGTTTATGCAACAGAACAATACATTTTTAACCAAAATATACAACGAAATGATTTTATTTATTAGTTCATGTACTCTATTTCAACTGATACCAAATTTACTAATTTATGATTAAAAAATTATGTTATTACATAAGTTAATTAAAATATACTAAATGGGCTTATTTTGTTGCACCGATTTATTAAAGGTCTAATGATGTAAAAATTATCTTTTTTATAGTTTTAACTTGTAAAACCGAATATTTCTGACAAATTTAAGGACTTGATGAATTAGGAAAAAAAAAGGGTAAAATTGAATATTTTTGTTAAAGCTAGGGGCTTTTAATGAATTAAAAATATGTAAAAGGTTAAAATTATAAAAATTGCAAACTTTCAACTTTATTAACGAGAAAAATGCAAAAATTATAAACTAGACCATCTTTGTGAAATTTAAGGGCTTTTGGCATTAGGACTTCATTAAAACCTATAAAAAAAAGTATCATATCAATACATTATTGATGATGCAACAAGTGACCAAATAGTTATAACGACTTTTTATTGTCAAAACTGGTATCATGAGGGACTGTTTATGTCACATGGTTATATTAAAAGGAAAAGTTTTGTAACATCTTGATAAAAAGATAAATAAAAAGGATTTGACACTTCCAACAGGAGAGTAGGTTGCCCCCACCTTCTCTTGATCTGGGGAACTGCGATATCTCTTGTATTTATCTCTCTCTTACCTATTAACCCCCACATCTTTCTGTCTTTTTCCTTTCACACCCCCCACTTTCCCTTTTTCTGTTTGTTCATTTCCCCTTTATGTTCAATCAGATCCTCTTCAAGATTCTTCCGTTATAGCATCAACCACTCGTACCCTATCCTTTCAACTCCACCATTCTAACTTGTACCCCACGCACCGAAAGTTGTACCTTAAGCATAAAAACTTGTATTTTCATGGAAAAAGACATAACATGACTGAAATTCTCATGCGTGTTTTGTTTTTGTAACAAAATAGGTAACAGAGGTCCAGGAAGAACACCATTAGACTGGACCACAAGGCTAAAAGTAGCAGCAGGAGCAGCTAAAGGACTCGTCTTTATTCATAACTCTTGCAGATCTCTTAAACTCACCCATGGAAACATCAAATCAACAAACATCTTACTAGACAAATCCGGCAACGCCTGCGTCTCCGATTTCGGCCTCGCCGCCTTCGCTCCGCCGACCACCGCCCCGAAATCCGGCTACCGAGCACCGGAGCTTTCGTCAATGGATGCCCGGAAAACCACTCAGAAATCCGATGTGTACTCTTTCGGGGTGTTGTTGTTGGAGCTTTTGACGGGGAAATGTCCGGCGGTGGTTGAGCATGGTGGGACTGGGTACGGTGGGGCGGTGGATTTGCCACGGTGGGTGCAGTCGGTGGTCCGGGAGGAGTGGACGGCGGAGGTGTTTGATTTGGAGTTGATGAGGTACAAGGATATTGAAGAGGAAATGGTGGGGTTGTTGCAGGTGGCTATGTCGTGTACTGCAGCTGCACCTGATCAGCGCCCTACGATGGGTTATGTATTGAAAATGATAGAGGAGATACGGGGAGTTGAGGTGTCACCGAGTCATGAGTTGCTTGACTCGGTTTCTGACTCGCCTTCTGTATCGGATGACACGTGCCGAGCGAGTGAGTAGTTGTAACACGTTATAGATTTATTTTGGAGTGTTGTAATGTAAATTAGGGTGGTTTTATTTTTGTGTTAATTAAATTGTTGTTTGACAAAATTCTTTAAAAATATTTGTGTCAGTTAAATTTTTTAATTCTTGGGTGTTTTGTCTTGTTGTGTTTTATTTTTATGGTTGACATTTATTATTTATGGGTTTATGGCTCGTCTTTATCATGCATTGCTTTGATTCTAGCAACGAGCCCCTACCCTGCTTTGGGCACACAAATTGATTCTAGCAACGAGCCCCTACCCTTGTTCGGGCAAACAAACACTAGGCTGTTCCTGAACTCTTCGGATAAAACTAATAATTTAATTCGATAATTTGGATCGGACTATTTTGTTTGGATATTCGGATTTTGTATTGGATTTTATCAAAACCGAATTATTATTTTAGATTTCAGATTGGTTTGGTTTATAAAATAAGAATTGAATAACAATTTCCTATATATTTATTTTTAATATATCTATAACTATTTATTAATTTTGTAAATTATTTTTTTCAAAAAGTTAAAAAGGTTTTACTCAATAAAAAAAATTAATATGTATTTTATCTCAAAAATGTTTTATCTATTAAATTTCAAATTATAATATACTTTCTTAATAGTTGTTTACAAACACCCTAATTAAATATATGCTTTTAGTTTCTTTAAAAAATTAAAAAAAAGTGTAAATTAATAAAACCATTTTGTTTGTTAGTTTTTTTCTCCGATGTCATCCAACACAAACTATGTTTAATTCTTTAAAAAATAATAAAACAAAGTGTAAATTATTAAAACCTTTTGTTTGTTAGTTTTTTCTCCGGTGTCATCTAACACAAACTATGTTTAATACGTGACAATGAAAAAAAACCAATCAACTATATGTACAAGTATCAGTTACGCCAAAGCTTTGTCGAAGTTTGTTAAAAGAGAATGACTTATAAGGGTAATATAAGATTTCGTTGAAGTTTGTTAAAAGATAATGATTTATAAGTATAACATAGTTTTGCTTTTGTATACGTTTAGTTATATATGTTTTTTTTTGTACACATATGATTATTGAACATGTTTAGATTGTTCACAAAATACCATTATGACCACTGATGTATGTTTTCCGACCAAAAAGGTTTTGTTCTTGTACACATTTAATCACTTATTGTGTGTATCTTCATCATGTGTTTGATTTTTCCAGAAGTTCAAGAACCGACTGCATGTGCTCATCTATAAAAACCTAAGTTATTAAGTCTATATAGAGAAAAAGAATTAGCCATCTTGAGAGGTAATGGATCTGTGTAGCTTCAAGAATGAGTCATGGTTTACAATTATGCATTCTATAAAGATTTGGGATATCCCGATTATGAGTTATGACCTAGGTGATGCACAACCAATTCTTAAAGTGTCATTTGAGTACCCTATTCGTAAGGGTATATCAAGAAGACTACAAACTGAATTAGGTTTAAGATTAATTTTTGAATTAGGGTTTGTTTTGTTTTATTGTTCATATGTTGTCTAAGAATTAATACAACTTTCGGTTTTGACAGATTCTAAACAATTTTGATCATAAGATGAAGAAGTTACGATATAAGATGATCGAATTGGTGCTTGTGTGATGGAAACATACGACGGAGCCGAACCTCTCCCGTGAGATAGGAAGCGACATGAAAAGTCGCTATCCACATCCGTTTGTTGATGTATGATTCACTAAACATTAGTTATAAAATATCTACTTACGTTGGTTAACAATTGTAATCTTTCATAAATAAATAAAAGATAATTATTTGAGTATATGTAATTTGTGGGTATATAACGTTAATAAAATACACTTTAAGAATAAAAGACTAATTAGGATAAATAATCCAAAATGAAAGTTGAAGTAACCGTAAAAGCGAACTCATGCATATAGAGAACGCCCAATCTGACTTAATATGAGAAAATTATGATTTTTCGAAGTTTCACCTTAGTAGTGTGCAACACAAAATTCGAAATCAAAATCAGTTGAGTGTTGGCCAAGACAATATAAATGAAAGTCGTAGATCTTGTGAATACAATTTTTTCGATATAAAGACCGTCGAGAACGAAATTCGTATAAAAGAGTTATGATTTTTACACGGGTTTTAACACTCTAAGCCCTCTAAAAATATAAATTAAAAAAATAGAGTGACAATTACCTGACGGAGTCTAAATAAAAGTTGTAGTACTCGTCGATAGTTATGCGTGGATATAAAGAACGTCGAAAATGAAGATCATATGAGAAAGATGCGAGACGTGCATGACTTCTTGAAGGGTGATGTAGACCACCACCTTTTCGATATGTGGCACGAAATTGGAGGAGAGACGTAGTAAGGAGATGCGGCCTACCCCATATATAGGTGCGACACACCTCATAAAATTGTTATAAATAGCAGTGTTTGCTGCTCATTTGCTCTCACACTTAACAAACTTCCTCTCTCAAAACTTCAATTCCTCCCGAGTCCAATTTTCCCTTGATTTTAGAAGTATTTAGCGGAGTTTTGAATCGTCATAGAATGCAACAAATAGAAACATCCGGTCGGAGTTTTGTTTGCGAACTTTCCGAACTTTTGTCAGGAAACTCTGTAAGTTAAGTTGTGCTTATTTTATGTGAAGTCTAACTTATATTTATATTCATAATTGGTATTATGAATTTATAAATAAGATTTATCAGTGATTCCATTTCATAATACTGATTGATCTAGTTACGGCAGTGATGTATATGTTAGATTTAGTGAGGTGTTTAAAGTGAGATTTCCAAACAGGATACTCTGTATACCAAATGGACCCTACATCCGATATGATCTTACATGGTTATTCCTTATTTAATAGATTTTGATGTAGATATTGAGATTATTGGGGAATCTAGACTATCATTAGTCGCAAGGAATATAAGACCAAGACTTACCGTTGTGTATACCTAGGTCATATCAGAGGAAAACCTAAGGCGTTTGACGAAGCACTGCCCAAATCACAAGTCATCCACTTTATTATGTAAGTGTATAGTTAGTTTCATCTTACACATACGTATGAAGTTTTTAGATAATTAAATGATATATATATCTATGGTTAAGATATTTTGTGTTAGATGAAATAATATGAGATGATTTTTATTTGAATTAACCGTATATGTATTTTGATACTTATAATATATTGGCTAGTGAAGGGTGATGAAAGATGAAAACGATGATAAAAGGCCATGACTTTTATAATACTATATGTGATGAACTATGTGTTTATGCGATGTACTCTATCCCCTTGTGGTTTCCTTACCGACATGTATTGTTGAGGTATCCCTGAAGCAATACTATACTTATTGCGATGATCCTTAGGACATGTCCTTAGAGATGAATATTAAAGATAACAGGGATGGGTAATCGGGTTAATTTTTTGATATGAAATACATAATTAAAATAATCAATTATATTACTGTGGTTGAAAACCCTTTGTACTCATCAGGCCTCTTAGCCTGACCTACTCAGTTTCTTTGTGTCACATGTAGCAGTACAAAGGTATAGGGATATTGATGTTTGGATCTAATGAGAGATTCGAGGAGATTTAGGCTATTAGTATAATTAGATGATGTAAGACATGTTAAGACAAGTTTATGCTTATGTTTCTGTATCGATGATGACATCTCATGTACTTATATATTAATGAAAAAGATTTCATCGGAAATGATTTGTTGTTGATATTATCTCACATTAAAATATTGTTGCGGGAACAAATTCCATAGTAAAAGAATACTCTGAATTAAATAAGCATAAAGAATTATTTTTCGGGCCATGATAAAGGGGATGTCACACTTATGTATCGTGAACCTCCATTAACCGTCGTCTCTCTCTCTCTCTCTATCTCTCTCTCTCTCTCTCTCTCAACTCCGACAAACACCACACACCACTAAAAAACAATAGGTAACATATCATCTAAACCCTTTGTAGGAGTGCTGATTCGCTAACCTGTTGTTGTAATGCTCGTAGATTAGGGCTAGTCAATTTAAGGTCAATAAGCATCAAAAATGACTTTTTGATGAAAGATTATTTTGAAGAAATAATCTTAACTAAGTTGTATTATATGTTACAAGGGTTCCATACATATAAAGAACGCTGAAATCCGAGTTATAACGAAGAAGTTATGACCTGTCGAAGTTTCGCGACATAACGACACAATGCTGTGTGACGTAAAAAGTGAATTTACGTTAGAGCGATATTTAGCCTTAGTGATCTAAACTAAAGTCTTAGAGATTGTTAAACCGATAGCGTGCATAAAAAGAACATCCAAATCTGACTTCGTATGAGGAAGTTATGATTTTTTTAAGTTTCAGCTTGGCAGTATGCAGCCTGAAATTCGATTTTTAGATCGAGTGATTTCTAGCCGAAATAATCTAAACGAGAATCGAAGATCTCATCAATAGTAGTGCAACGATAAAAAGACAGACGGAAATGGATGTCGGATGAAGAAGTTACGAATTTATAACAGAGTTTTCCTCTCCTGGCCAACTAAAAATAATATAATAAAAATAAAGTTGAAATCAGCTGACGGAGTCTAAATGAAAGTTGTAGAGCATAGTCTCACCTACACGTGGATATAAATAACGTCGATAACGGATTTCGTATGAGGAAGATATGAATTTCTGAAGTTTTTAAATAATTAAAATATATTTTTTTAAATATAAAATCGGATAATATCGGAAGCCTTGACGCGTCGGTCCTATCCACCCGGTACGCCCAGCGTACCTAGATATACACCCAACGTACATATCGACGGAGGATTACTCCCAACGTAACTCGGGGTCTCAGCCCCTATACATAATAGTCGAAGGTTGCCGATCTTTTTGCTACTTTTCTTCCTTTCTCTCTCATTTTTGCGTGCAAGAAATACCCCGAAGTCTCGGTATTAACCCTGAGCCCCGAAGCGAGTCCCGAGGCCCCGAAGATCCCGATAAGTGAAATTTCGAGCCGAAGCTCTGCCCGCGAGAAGC